GATATCCAGCATGGTCCTATGTGAGGCAAGAACATAACAGACCACGCTGACTGCATCAGAGAAATGTGTCTAATATGTGAAGGGCAATTCTAACTGGGCCAGAATAGACTGTGTTTTCTCTAATCCCTTAGTGCAGTGGAGGTGGAAACTTCTCAATAACCTACTATAGATAGTATGTGAAGTTGTATAAAAACAAAACAAAACAAAATATGCTTAATTTAAAACCATAGTACTATACATAGTTTTCATTCCAAGGTTAACATTCAGTTATTGTCAACAAAATTTTTGTTCTTAGAAAATTCTAAATTAAAGGGCTTCTATATTTAGATAGATAGCTGAGCTGGGATAGACCTTTATGCCCTGTTAACAATTGATCTTAGGGAACAGAATGGTTAAAACAAAGGGTAATGGATATCTATTGTTTCAGCCTGTGCATACCCATTTCTCCTTCCTTTAACAAAGGCCTTTAGGCCATGGAGCTGCCTCTGTCCCTGGCACTTGACCCAAGTCCCTGCCAATCATGCCCCTGGGTACAGTGATTGGTTCAAGAGTGGGCATTTGATCCGAGCTGGACAGTCACAGAGCTCCTTGTGTGAGAACTCTCAGAAACTCTCTTGCTGCTGATGTTGCTAAGTCCATAGAAACCATGATTGTCAACATGTAAGTAGAACTTACCTGGTTAATAAATTCAAAAGAAGGGAAAACAAAGTTGATAAAAGGAAAAAGACACTGGCTTAGTAAAATTGTTTGTTTCCCTGGATCCAGACATATCCTTGAACTTCCTAGTTTTATAAACCCAGATACCCATCACTTTTAATTTTTGCTTCAGCTCTTTTGAGTTGAGTTTTGGTCACCTATTATTGAGATATTTCTAACTAATATACCAAGTAAGCAGTTTGAATTTATAGAATATTGTGGTCATATGATTCATTTATGGTGTGTTAGGAAATTCTAAGTGGTTCATTTTTTCTGAAGTGTAAGCTAACAGGTGGGGAGATGAGAGAGAAGAGGTGGGAAAAGTGGGCAGAGACCAGAGCAAGCAGATTCCCTACACCAGGCGGGCTGCTAAAGCTCATGTACTGAGTGTCTCGATGGTCATTTTAATCAAGGAAGCAACATGCTCAGATAAGATAATGCCTAGGTTACGGGTTGGCTAGGTCTGGTGGGGCTGGTAGAAAAGGAAGGATGTCTAAAGGGTATACGATTTCTTTTAAGCTAATGAAATGTTCTAAGTTTAGATGGTAATGATTGCACAATTCTGTGAATACTGTGAACATGCTAAAAACTATTGAATTGTGTACTTTGAAGGGACAACTTGTGAATTATATCTCAACTAATTTGTTGATAATAATTACAACTAAAGGCCTAGACTAAAGCCTTGGGAGAAGGGATGAGAGAGTCCCAAGAGAACCTTGTTGAGAAATTTTATCAAGTACAGTCAGCAGGGCTTTGGATTATTTAAAGGAAGCAAGGAGGTAGTCACTCTTAGTATCTAATGGAGAGGAAGTAGAGGAATAAAAGGGAGGATAATATGAAGGAGATACCAGGGTGACAAGGCTAGCCATGCCATCATGAGAAGAAAGAGAAGACAATGAAAGAGGAGAGGCAAGAGTTTCATGTCGCTCAACAAGCATGGATTTAAAAACTGTCACAAACTGGGTCCTGGTAGATGTAGGTTTCCACCCAGTGAGCTCATTTGGGAGAAGGTGAGCATTCCTGGGAGACTGAGAGACTAAGTAATGCCCAGGCATGTGCAGCAATCCTTGAAAAATCTTCAGGAGGTGGGCCCTGTGTATTACTGCCTTCTTGTCATGAAGATGAGGAAACATCTTTCGCACAAATGTTGAGGTAGTTGCCAACTATTATGTCTAGAAGGAGATTGGAACTCTGGTCACCTCGTTAAATTGCATTATTTACTATAATTGTTTAATAAACCATTAGACTCAGCCTGAAGCTTTAGGCATTTCCAGAACACATCCAAGCACATACATTGATATGCTTGCCCAGTGTAGACCTTCAGAGGTACTATACTTCAGAGTCCATTGACCACAAAGACAATGAATGTTCACAGTGGATTTCTGTCCTTCAATAGTATGACTTTAAGGAGGTCTCCACTATGTATATGTGCAGCATTTCTAGATAGCCTCTTTCATGCCAAGCTGAGAACTATTGGAGCTCAGAAAATGGTACCCTGAAATAAAGGCCTCAGAAGTAGCCTTAGAAGTAGTTTTTCTGTTAGAAGTAGTTTTTCTGTGACTACCTCCTGTCCTTCTGTCTCTCAGTCTCTTTTTCCCCCAAGTCTAGTCACAGAAACTAGAATCCCTCTTCCCTAAGAAGGGTCACAGAAACCAGAACCCTAGACTGGGCACAGTGGTTCATGCCTGTAATCCTAGTTCTCTGGGAGGCCAAGGTGGGTGGATCACTTGTGCTCAGGAGTTCAAGATCAGCCTAAGGAAGAGCAAGACCCTGTCTCTAAAAACAGCTGGCTGTTGTGCTGGGCACTTATAGTCCCAGCTACTTGGGAGGCTAAGGCAAGAGAATCACTTGAGCCCAAGAAGTTGAGGTTGCTGTGAGTTTTGAGGCAGGGCACTCTACCAAAGGGCAACAAAAATCCAGAAAAGTAAAGAAACCAGAACCCTCTTGCCCCAAAGCCAGGCATACAACTTAAAATTATTACTCTAAATTTCTCTCTGCCCTTCTGTGTAAAAACTAGCCATAAAGAAATTATCTGACCTACCTAGCTTGACTGTAAGTTATAAGACCCCCATTCCAGAGAAGGTCCTGCCCTATACCCAGAAAAAGGAATGCTGCTCCGGGAAGTCAGGAATAATCTAGACAGATAGACATTGCTGGGTTTCCCTACTCGGGGTAGCAGCATTAGATTATACCCACTTTCTCCAATCACATTTCTACATGGCTGTCCATACTTTGTTGAACCTAAGCATAAAAACGGACAATCTCCCCTATATCTTTGGGTTTTCATTCTGAAGGCTCTCATGTACACACATTAAATAAATTTGTATGCCTCTTAATTTGTATGCCAATTAATCAACTTCTTATGAGCTGAGTTTTCAGTGAACCTTCAGTGGGCCAAGACTTTGGCCCTATAGAACATATAGATTTTTAACCCACTTGGCCCCAGTGATGATATGGTGTTGGGGACACTCCCTTGCTCTAAGGCTCTATGATTAGAAGATAAGAAAGGGAACTTCTAAGTCATTTTGTCAGAAAATTCAAAGATGATAGGGGCGAGGAAACATTTTAGGTTTGGCCAAATCTGTAGTCTTAGGTGATATGGGGATTTGGGAAGTCCTTCTCCTTTCTGGAACCTAACAATATAATCCTAAGAACACCACGGTGTATGCCAGGGTTTTAGTCCTAAATGCCGGAATATAGAAAAAATGTTAAGAGTAACATTAAATGTCTCTATCTTTTGTTTACCTCCACTATATAAATTCCAAATGGCTCTGTTCCCTGTCTTTGATTGTTTTGTCTGCATATTTCAGCTAAGAGTTTACAAAACAGCACTCTTGAACAGGAAGATAAGAAGAGCACCTATTTGTTGAATAACGTGGAGGAGGAAAACTGCAAGCTCATCCATTTTGTTAAGTTCCTCCAAAGGATCAAAATACCAATTAACTTGCTGCCTCAGAAATCTCTGATGTCCTCAGATTTACTGACATTTTGAAACTCTTGTTCAGACTTGCTTAATGGCTTTCTGGGGATGAATAAAGACGTGCCAATCTGTTTAGCATTTGACCTGTTTTCTTAAATATTTTTATGTATTCAAACACTTTGTTGCTAAAAATACTTGACTAGTCACATTCATGAGTTAAAATAATCTTTTTTTTTTCTTCCCCTTCCGGTTTTAGGGGGAAAAGTAGGTTCAAGGTTTTTTTTTTTTTTTTAAAAAAAGGGAAGGCCATTTCTTTTTTTTTTTTATTTTAAACCTTTTCTTCGCAAAAACTTTTTTTTGCTTTTGCTTTTTCATGGAATTTAGCAGAGTTTGGAAGACTTGATGAAGCAAGCTACTGTATTTAGGATCCATTCTTTCCTAAGAAAAAGTTGGAAAAATGACCTTTGGTACACGTTTCAGAAAGGAGGTAAAAAGACAATAAAGATGGCTTAAGTGTGTGGTTGGGGGGGCACAGATTCTATAATGGACATTAATATTCTTCTCTGCGCACACTCAGCAATGCTGCTCAGAGGTAGTTTTTATGTTTTGTTTTGGTTTTTTAGTTCTTCTAAAAAATTCTGTGAAAATTCTACCTGTAATTACATGCACATATAAGGCATCCTTATGGCATTTCATTCTTACAAGTCAGTTTCTGGATTTAGAAAGCTTCATGCAATTTATTTTTTAAAAACATTGATTGAATGTAGTAGACTGAGATTAAAAGCGTGGACACTGAAACCAGACTGCCTAGGTTCAAAGCGTGGCTCTACCGTCTACCAGCATGAGCTTTGGGCAAGTTACTTAATTCCTTTTTGTGCTCCATTTTTCTCACCAGTCAAATGAAGATAACAACAGAGCTCACCCTATGGGATTGGTCTATGCATCAAACGAGATTGTACATTTCAGGACAGTGCCCTAAAATGTCCTGCACTGTGTGAGAGCTGTTAGGTGCTACATATGTGTTAATTATTGTATCAGAAGAGGAGTGGGTGCTTTTAAATTCACCAGAATCCTGGACCCACTTATGGAGACATATTTCATCATAACAATTAAAAGTCTGCAGAATTTAAGACCTAAGGATTTATAATATACAAATGCCTATGGACATTTAAAAAATATATGATCAGAAGGACGTTTGGCCTGTCCTCCAGATCACTACCCTTTAGTTGGATCACAATAAAAATGCAACTCTAAGCAAGTAAATGGTAGCTGGTAACTAGCCTATTACAAGTTTGGAGGGACACAGACAGGGGGAGCAACCCCAGGGGAGAGGGCGGGGAGAGCTCCGTTTTTAGGAACATATTTCCCAAGATGCTGGTCTGACCTTTTCACAAACTCTTCGAAGAGGATACGGTGGGAGTAGCCCTGTCTGCGGATGCTGACTGTCTCCAGGATCCCGGTGGAGCGGAGCTGGGCCAGCACTCTCTCTCGGGAAAACTGCAGGGCCTCTCGGTTGTCGTTGGGTTTAATGCAGCGCACAAAGTGGGGCTGTCCAACCACCATTTTGGAGAGCAGATCCATCAGAGAATACTGCGAGGGAGGAAAGTGCAGGTGAAATGAGGTCTCCGATAATATGATGGAGAATTACCGGGGGCCGGTCCGCAGGGGCCCCCAGAGCAGTTGGAGGCTCGTGAAGGACTCATGTATCTTTTTGAGACAGAGCATAAAATCAGTAGAAGGAGTTGGTAATGTAAGTTCTAATTATTGCTGCCTGCAGATTCTAAAGCATTCTTTAAACATGACCTAGCATCGAGCAATATTCTCCTGTGGCAGACATTTAGCAAGGAACACGCTCTAGGTTACCCTGTAACTCTGTTGCCAGCACTAGAATGCTCATCTCTGGTATTCCAAGCCAGCCAGTGCTCCACAATCTGCATCTGTAATTTATAATGTCCAGCTTTGGGGAAAGGAGATAATTGCTTCTTCAGCTTAAAGACCATCAGAAAATCTAAGTAAATCCTACTGATACTATTGCTAAAGAGGTAATGGAAGAAAAAGTAATTGGAGAAGAATGTAGGGCCTGGTGCAGTGGCTCCCACTTGTAATCCCAGCACTCTGGGAGGCCGAAGCCAGTGGATTGTCTGAGCTCAGGAGTTGGAGACCATCCTGAGCAAGAACAAGACACTGTCTCTACTAAAAATAGAAAAAACTAGCTGGGCATTGTGGTGGGTGACTGTAGTCCTAGCTACTCAGGAAGCTGAGGCAAGAGGATCTCCTGAACCTAAGAGTTTGAGGTTGCTGTGAGCTATGACCCCACAGCACTCTACCCAGGGTGGCAGAGTGAGACTCTGTCTCAAAAAAAAAAAAAAAAAAAAAGGAAAAGGAAAAAAAGAAATTGAGATATCAGAAATGGGAAATCACAGGGCTCAGGCAATGGGTGCTATAATAGATCAATCTAGGAAGGTAAAGTCAGTACTAAGATTCTCTTGGTATCTGAACTTGATAAGCCACCTTCGGGAATTAACTGTTTTTCAGTATGTTGGAAAAGTAGCTCACTCTAGCAGCTCTGAGGCCAAGAAGCAACTCAAATGCTAAGAGAATCCTCACGTTCATGGTCAAGATTATGAGCCCAGTGCTCTCTCCTTGCCATGCTTCCTCCACTCCCAGCTCCCACCCTTCTTAACTGGCTCTTGTGCTTTGACCTGGTTTCAATGACTCTGTCCTATCTGGGCCTCTCTTAGTGGGCCTGGAGAGTCTTTTTCCGGAAGCAGGCAGAATAGAGATCAAGAGGACTCCATACCCGGAAGTAAGAAGCCATGGTTTGCCTCTTCATGTTGGTGGTTTCCTCAGGATGCCGTATCACCTCCAGGGTGTCTACCTGGAAGCAGAGGGGGAAGGAAGTGGTTTGAGGACATAAGCACTTAGTTCATTCTCCAGATTTTCCAAAATCTGAAAGACTGTTTGGTCCTCCGAAGGACCACGGCATTTAGGACACAACAATGCACACTGTGGGGAGAATTTTATAAGTTACATCAAAGATTTTTTAAAAGTGCACTATTCTACTTATTTGACAATATTACTGCATTCTGCGAAGAGCCATATAGTCTCAGTGTCAATGCCTATCGATGTTATTTCTACGTTTCTCCATCTCTTAATGGGCACTTGTTAAATTTCCAGTAATGCCACGTGAAACCAACTATTTCTTAAAGGAAAACAAGGTAAAGGCCCATGAGGCCGGGTGTTTATAATGACATGATATACCCAAGGTTGTATATACCCTGGGTTGTTCCTGCCCAGGTTGTACTGCAGGAAATTAGGCCAGCACCTGCTGCCTTCCGTAAGGTCCTGATGCTGTAACACTTCTACAGTTCTCACCTACTACAGACGAGAGCTCAGGTACCAAATCACTCAGGAACCTAGTGAGATATACCTGTTCCCAATCATCTATTCCCTACTACTTGGGATGGATGGAAGGAATTTAAGGATGAAAACAATTATAGGGATTGAATGTAAGCAGCCTGTGATTCATTATTATAGTTCAACAACAAAAGCCCTGCTTTAGTTAGAGGACATAAGTGGCCTTTAGCTCCAGCCTTGTTGTGGCAGCTCTCCATCTCCTTTGAACAGGTGCCAGGGGATGAAGTGGGACTGTTTAAACCACAAGATACTGCTGTCAGTACATGGGTTTCACTTGGTGGACTGCTGTCTAGGTAACCACCTCCCCATGGGGCGAGGATGTCTGTAGCCTTCTTCAATGAAAATGAAAACTGGGTGCTAAAAGGGGCAGGACCTAGGAGGTGAGAATAATGAGATTTCCTGGAGTGATATTTATAAGACAGTGTGCAAAATGAGAGCAAATGCTTCAATTGGGTTGGGTTTGAAAAAAAGAAAAAACAGGTTTATTGAAGAAGGGACAAACCATAAGGTTAAGTTATCACAAACTAGAAAAGCAACCTAAACAGTGAGCAGGAATATGACATATCTGGGGCAGGCCGTTTTCTTTTTGTCTGCTGCACTTTGGAAGCCATCAGTCCACTTATACACAGCTGAAACAACGATAAAACTGCCTATAGGTTTGACTTTTTAATTTCTTTTAATGACTGGGAGGCAGGAGACTTGCTTGAGGCCAGGAGTTTAAGACCAGCTTGGGCAACATAATGAGACTCTGTCTCTACAAAAAATAATTTTTAAAAAATTAGCCAGGCATGGTGGCCTGGGCCT